TTAGGGTTAGTTTAGGTTTTAGAGGTTGTTTTAATAATAAAAGTGTATAAGTGGATTTTGGTAGGGTTTATATTTTTAAATCAAGGTCCCTAATTTCCAGCATCAGCCATTTCCAGCTTCAGCCGCGACAATAATAATAATTATTATTATTATTATTATCAGTATACTTTTTAAAAAAGTTACTATGTTCAATAAAATTATTTGGACAATTGGACATTGTCTAAATGTCCAAATGTCCAAATTGTCAAAATGTCCAATATCCTAATATGCCATCCCTGATAGAAATTACGATATCTCCAATGCAAACAAACTCAATCTCAACCACGTACTGTGATCACCAAAATAGCGGGTAAGTTCTGTACTAGAATTTTTACAGCAATTAACGATAGAAATCACGTTAATTTTAATGTGAACTAAACCTTAATAACAGTTTTTATAGAGAATATTTTCATAATAACTCATGATAGAAATCACAATTATTCCAATACTGCAATAATTACACAGAAATCGAGATAGTTCCATTGCAAACCAATTCAACCTTAATCGCATACTGTGATTATTGTAACAGTGAATAAGCTTGCAACAGAATAATTCACGATTAAATTACCGTATAGTTCCGAAAATAAGTACCATTGGCCCGCACTATGCCAATTTTGGGCCGCATTATAATGATCTCGGCCAGCATTACAAGCAAAAAAAGGGTGCTTATTTTCGGAAATATACGGTAATGATACGTAATTCTAATACAAACTGACTCGAACACAATCACAAACTGGACACTGATAAGCTTTGTAACAGGATATTTTACTGTAAATAATGATAATGATAGGAATCACGATAATTCTAATACAGCTTTCAACCTTAACTACGTATTGTATATATCACAATGTCTGGTAAGTTCAGTAATGGAAATATTTTGAGAGATGATTGGAAAACCAATGTTCCGTCCGAAACGTTTCGGCCCTGGAGTTTCGGTTTCACCCAAAATCCAAACCTCCGAAACTGGGCGAAACCTTCCGAAACTAGGCGAAACCCTCTAAATCAAGCTTTCCAGAACCCCAAACTCTATTTCTTTCGGAATGTTTCGTAACTTTTCGCTATTTTTACTCACCACCTTGCTCATATTTTACGCTCATTGATTTTCTACTCGGAAACTTCGTCCAATTGCGAAAGTTTCGGCCAATTTCGGCCAACTTCCAGAAGTCTGGCGAAACACTGTGGAAAACATCTCTATTTAGTAAATATTGAGTTTTTTGTTAATCGACATATCTAAGTATGTTCGAGCTTATTGACGTTCTCAAACATCAACATAGATCTATCAATCGAAATGGTATGATTTTAACTATTCTTATATCACTTTAGATAAAATTCAATAGTAAGAACGGTGATATTATTGAGATAGATCAAGTAAAGTATCACACTTACTGTAATTTGCTAAGAATTGTAGTGGTGCTTTATTGCTACAATGAACCAAAATAGAAATCTCAATCTGTACCTGAGTATTTTTTATCAATTTATTGATTTTGAATACCGTATTGTCGCGAAATAACGCGCAGGGTGTAATTTAAAATTTTGGCCTAAGTCAAGCTTAATTCGGGTTATTACTCTAAATAATGCCCGGTCTGTTATCTCGCGATACTATGTAATTTATTAAATGCTCCAGGGTAAAAGCTTGTTGACCAGAATGGTAAACTTGTTGAGCATTTTTTTTTTATTAATTTAATAAGCTAAGTGTTCTGTCCTTGTTAATTCAAATGACACGCATTTGATCGATTAATAATATTTTGACCCACCAATTGAGGCACATGAGAATGTCCTCTGACACTTATGATTACATTGTGTTTCATATTTAATTTATTTTAACTGCAATAAATTTATTTGGTTAGTAGATAGTGTATTTAATAGTTATTCGATTTCAATTTATAGTTATTTTATCATCTTACTAAAGTTTCTATTTTTATTCGTGATAACTTAATCAACTCAGAAAGTATAAGATCTTTTACGATCAGTATACCCAGACAAGCTATTTAAAATAGTAGTTTAAGGGTATTCTCAAATAGATCTCAATATAATTTACAATGATTAAGGTGTTACTCAAACCATTGGAACTAGGGATGGGGTCGGGTTAGGTTATAGTCGGCTAGCCGCCAGCGCCATAGCCGTTTACTATACAACAACCCAAAAATAATTGTTTTTTCGCTTCATAAAATACATATATGGGGCAGCGTCAATCAAAACGTAGCATACAAAATGATAAAAAATTAGGGCATGTCTAATTGTAACATAGTGTGTTAAATACGAATATTTTTAATCAATATTGATATTTTTGTTATAAACAACATGTTATGATTAGACATGCCCTAATTTTTTATCAATTTGTGTAACAATTTTCGGAAAGTATTCAATCTCACTATGCTACGTTTTGATTGACGCTGCCCCATATAGCCAACTTTTTCTATACGAACTGTTGGTTTTGGCTAGTATAAAAAAAAAAGTTCATTATATAAAATTATATGTTGAAAAACCTACGTACATATATTTTGATCAGAAATCACATGTAACCGGCAGATCTGCCCGGCTATCATTTTTACAGGCAACGCTAGAGTCGTTATGGTTGTAGAATTTATCGCTTAACATCTGAAAATGACGAATATGAGGCTAACAGTTTTGTAAAGTGATCTTTAAAGCTAGAAAATTTTTCATTAGATCTGTTTTCAAGATCTTATGGTAAGCCGGGATTTTATTTCTTCCATTTGTAGTGAAACTATCGCATTTTTTTGATGCGTGGCAAAGTTTTCGATTCAATAATCTCATAGGCCACAATATAATTGCGCCATTTTGTAAATCTTGAAGCTTATCATGAGCTTCTGTTTCAACTAAATGAGTTTCAGGATGCTTAAGCTAATTAATCAAAAATGAATTCACAAGCAAAAAACATAAAATCAAAAATAAATGATGCATTATACCGTAGATATATCTATGTATAAAGCCAATTTATATTTTAGATTTCTTCTTGCAATATAATATATACTGCATTATAATCAAAATATGTGCTGTAAAATAACTTACTTTGACGATAATTTCAAATTGTTATATCGAAATATTTTTTAATTTAAGTGTTTAATGTTATTTTATCTTTACTAATATTTGGCAATTCGTTACAAGAATATAACGATCAAATTGCTGAATGAACTTAGAATCTTTTAACATTTATGAATATATTAAACCTTAGTTATTAAGTTATTCAAGATAATTATTTGAAAGTTTTTCTAAGAATTTTATTACAATTTTAAATAAGTTTGAAATCAACGTGTTACGTACGTACGTACGCAGTTTATAGAATTTTTACATCGCACAAATTTAAATGTTGTACCGTACAACATATTACGCCATTTTCAGCTTAAATACTGTATCGGATATTTGGTAGTTATCGTTATGGTCATTTTAATTTTACATTCTAAGGATGACAAAAATTATCGAAAAACTTTTAAAAGATTATATTGAAATTCTTGATAAGGAAGAAGAATTTAATGTAATCATTAATGTTGGAAAATTTCCGGACATAAAATCTTTTAAAACACATTCGGTTATTTTGAGACATCGGTCTTTATATTTTCGTAATGAACTAGCAAACATTAATAAAGATAAGAATAATATTAAAACGATTGATTTAAATCATGTATCAATTCAACAATTTGACTATATTGTTAAGTAAGTTATTGAATGCTTTAATATATAATGTGTCGTATATGTCTTAAATTATTAACATTTATTTAATTTAATATAAAGATATATCTATGGAGGTGTCGCTTTATTAGATAATCTTGATACGTCATTTATTTTTGAGCTCATGCTTCTTGCTTGTGAGTTTCTTTTTGAGGAATTGGCCAAATATATTGAATCTCATTTAATTGAGACAAAAGCTCACTGGCTTCGTTTACACTTTGCTCACGTTTATCAAGAAAGTTTCAAAAGTAATGTTCTTCAAGGATTACAAAAATGGTGCAATGATTTCGTGGTCAAATATCCAGCTAAGGTTTTTGACTCTGAAGATTTTACTTTACTTCATGAAAATGCATTAGTATCACTTATTGAGAGGGATGACTTACAAATGGAAGAAATAAAGGTTTGGAACTATGTTATCGACTGGGGAATTGCTCAAAATCCAAACTTACCATCCGATTCTAAGGATTGGACTCATGACAATTTTCTAGCCTTAAAGACTACTTTACAAAACTGCTTACCTCTTATTAGATACTTTCAAATATCTAGAGGTGACCTTTATAAATATGTAGATCCATATAATCAAATTATCGAAAAAGCTTATGGGAAGATATAAAGTGCTCCAAATAAATCAGTATCTTCAAAAATTCTTCCACCTCGTACTATCTTGAAACAAGAATTACCAACACGAGCAACTGAGCCATTTTCTTCAATGGTTATTAATAAAACACATGCGACTAAAATTGCTTCGTGGATTGATAAAAGAAGATATTCTAAAGAAGATAATCCTTATGAATTTAAATTACTTCTTCGTGGAACTAGAGATGGGTTTACTGCTAATTCATTCTAGAATTTATGCGATAAGCAAAAAAATATTGTTGTTGTCATAAAGGTTAAAGGCGCCAGTGAAATTCTTGGTGGATATAATCCTATTGGATGGGAAAAAGTAAAAGAATTGTGTACAACAAAGCATTGTAATGATAGCTTTATTTTTCGTTAAAAGATGGTATTATCAAAAATTGTGGTTTAAGTCGTATAAAAGATCAAACTAAGACTGCAATTTATAATCGTTATAATTGTGGCCCATGTTTTACTTATGGCCTTTATATGAATAATGAATTTAATCAGAATAAGAAATGTTATTGCTATTATAAAGTCCAAAATACTGGTTTTGAAAACAAAATTAGAAGCGCATCATCTTACGGTGGAAATAACTTCCTATTTTACTGTAGAGGAGTATGAAATATTTCATATTAATAGAAGAGCTTTATAGATTTATGCCGCTTAAATTATTTGGCATTTATGTTTTTTTTCTTAAGATTATATTAAGCGCGTATCAATAAAAATTATAACTCCATTTACAATCTGTAATTTGGATCAATAGATACATAAAATTTGCTAAAGAGTTCTTTGAAGCAAGCAATATCGAATTAGGTGATGTTATATGTATATTAGATCAGTAACGAATGTTATTGCTCTAAAGCTTCAATTTTAAAAGGCCAATTGATTTTAGTCTAATACAGTATTATCATAATATTTTTTTTAAAAGTTTACAAATTTAATAAGTGATAAAATAGCTACGTAACCGATAAATCGTTATCTTCCCAATACTTATGTAAGGTATACAACTTCGAATAATATATATTGGAAATTCTGCAAGTAGCATAATGAAAACAATCAATACTCATCCATCTGTTAACCTGTCATCTATCTGAAGATCTTTCAGTAAAACTTGTCTTATAATAAAAATAAAATGATCTTGGTTTTAGTGTTTTCGTTAATAAATAAACTGTCTCAAGTACTTACAATATACTCGATAAGCCTTACTTACAAATCGTACCGCCTCTACCTATTGGGTATATCGTGTGGTTGTTTTGCCTCTGTTATGGTGATTGGTTAGTCCGTGTTGCCGACCCAATTTTAATCCATCAATACTGCAATATTGAAGCCCATTTTAATTGAGACAAAGGTCCACTAGCTCAGTTTACACTTTACTTACGTTTATTCTTCAAGAATTGCAAAAATCGTGCAATGACATTGTAAATATCCAGGTGAGATTTTATGACTTTGAAAGCTTTACCTCAATCTATTATTAAAACGCATCAATATATTTATTGGGCAAGATAATTTGCAAATGGAAGAAATAAGAATTTGGAATTATGCTTGAAAGCTGGTCCAATTAAAACTTACTTTAAAGATCACTTTATGAAATTGTTAGTCTCATATCCATTGTTTTCAGAGGTTTAAATATGATATCATAATTTGTACAGAAATACAACAAATCTTTGGAAAAAATCTTTGGAAATATATAATAAATAAATTCATATCACAAAACTGACAAGTATCATCAACGATTCTTCTGCATCATACAAATTTAATTCCAAAATTAGGAAATAGATGAAGCATGTGACAGAAATTGTTTAATGGATTGATAAAAGTGAAGATTTGTATTCTATGGCAAATAATCTTTACGAATTTAAATTACTTTTTCGTGGAGCAGGGATGGATTTGCTAAAGGTTCATTTTGGAATTTATGCAATAAACAAGCTAATGCTGTTGTAATTATTAACCGATGAAATTCTCGATAGTATAACCCTATTGGATGGGATGAACTAACTAGTAAAAGGATATGCTATAGAATTTGTTTTTTCATTGAAAATGGTGCAATCAAAAAATTCTATGTAAAAGATCCGATTAAGGTTGCAATTTTTAATAATTCTAACTACGAGCCGAGTTTTTATTATGGCTTTATATATTTATGATATAATAATAATTTCGACTTTATTGTGTATGAATATCCAATTAGAAAAAGCCATCCTATATTAATAACTATTCATAATACTCTGTGGATGAGTATGAAATATCAGATCACAAAAAGGGTTTATCGATTCCTGCCGCTTAAAATTTTAACCAGTATATTATTTAAATTAATTACTATTTAACTAATACTGTATTCCTTTTTTAAAAAATCTATTAATGTGAAAAGCATTTATTCTCTTCAGAAGAGCAGGTGGATTAATGGTGGTAAAAATGATTCTCGGTCATATATAATTAAACTGATATCTCAAAATCTACGGAACTTTAAAATTGCTTGAAATCATGGGATCGTTTTTTGCCATCATTAATTCACTTTGATTATTACAAGTACTTCACTCTGTTGACAGAGTCGTTATTTACTACAATATTAATCTTCTGTAATTCGATTCATTTGTTCGGCTAAAAATTATGACAATGTGTGTATCAAACAAGTTAACAATATACGGTATTGGTCTTGGTTATACGAAAGATCGTTAATTAAAATTTAATTTAATAGATTAATTCTGAATATTTAACTTTAATCTTGCAAATATATACATGAAAGAAGTTAAGAAATTTTTTTAAAAAAATATAAATTACAATAAAATGGAATGATTTCATTCTAGATAAGTTTGCAACCTTATTATTAAACTTTTATATTTTTGTTTTATTAAGCCCCCGTAATGAGGGACACCGGGAGGCGTACTTTATTTAAATCTTACATATCTTTTATACTTATATCAAAAAAAGGGTAACATTATTAATTTAACGAAGTCACAATAAATTGATCATTATACATAACAATGTTAAAATCATTTATTAAGTGAATTATTAACGTAAACTTTTTACTAATCTGGAATATTTCACATTCTTCTATCGAATAATATTAAAATCTAGCACTATCAAATGTTGATACATTTCTAATTTGGTTTTCATATGAACACTCACATTGCCTATTTTAATTAAAATTATTCTTCATAGCTAAATCACAGCAATAACCAAAACGATTTCCATAGTCAGAATTATAACCAATTGCAAATTTTTGTTCTTACACGGCTTAAAATAGAATTTTGAATGATACCATTTTTCAATGAAAAAATAAAACTATCTTTGCAACTCTTATAGAAAGCAGCTGTAATTGGTTTATTCCAATCGATGGATTATAACCACCAAGAATTTCATCAGTATCTTTAACTTTCATAACTACAACAAGATGTGTTTTCTTATCACATAATTTCCAAAATGAATCTTTGGTAAAACCATCTCTAGTTCCGCGAAGAAGTAATTTAAACTCATATGGATTATTCTTTATTAAATATCTATTGTCTTTTTTGTCAACCCATGAAGCAATCTCTGCTATATGTGTATCATTGATAACTGTTGAAAATTTTTCTTTGATTCTAGTTGGTAATTTCGGCGTCAAAATTACACGAGGTGGAAGGATTTTTGAAGATATTGGCTGATTCGGAGTAATAAATTTTTTTAATATATCATTCCAAAGATTTTTTTCAAGTATCTGATGATAGGGTTTTATATTATTCAGAATACTATCACCTGGCATCTGAAAATAACGGATATGAGGCAAACAGTTTTGTAAAGTAGTCTTCAAAGTGTGAAAATTTTCATTTGACCAATCCTCAGGATTTGTTGGTAGATCAGGATTTTGAGCAATTCCCCATTCAATAACATAATTCCAAATTTTCACCTCTTCCATTTGCAAGTCATCTAGACTAATAAGTGAAACTATCGCATTTTCTTGAAGGGACATAAAGTCTTCCGATTCAAATACTTTATCGGGATATTTTACCACGATATCATTGCACCATTTTTGTAAATCTTGAAGCTTATTATTCCGGAATATTTTTTGATAGAAAAGAGTAAAATTTAAACGAAGCCAATGAGCCTCTGCTTCAATTAAATGAATTTCAAGATGCTTAGCTAATTCATCAAAAAGAAATTCATAAGCAATAAGCATAAGCTCATAAATAAATGAAGCTTTAGAGTTTTCAAGCAAGACTACTCCTCCGTAGATATATCTATTTACGTATAAATAAATTTTTATTTTAGATTTCTTCTTGTAATACAATAAATATCAAAGTATATGCAGTAAAATAACTTACTTGATTATAATCTCAAATTGTTGTACTGAAATATTTTTTAATTCAAGAGTTTTAACATTATTTTTATCTTTACTAATATTTGCCAATTCATTACGAAAATATAAAGATCTGCATTTTAAAATTGCTGAATGAGCTTGAAATCTTTTAGAGTTTGGAGATTCGCCAACATTAATGACTATATTAAAATCATCTTTGTCATTAAGTAATTCAAGATAATTATTTGAAAGTTTTTCAAAGAATTTTACTACCATTTTAAATAAGTTTGAAATCAAACGTGTTACGCTGTTTGTATTATTTAGAGTTTAGTAGCTGCATTGTTATTCCTGCACGAATATAACACAAATTTCTAAGTACGTACTACGTATATTGTACTACGTAAACGTCATTTTCAGCTAAATAAAGATAATATCGGATATTAAAGTTGTTACTGTCATTTGATTTTAGATTCAATAGGATGACAACAAAAATTATCGAAAAACTTTTAAATGATTATATTGAAATTCTTAACGATGAAGAAGAATTTAATGTAATCATTAATGTTGGAATATTTCCAGATGTGAAATCTTTTAAAACTCATTCAGTTATTTTGAGACATCGGTCTTTATATTTTCGTAATGAACTAGCAAACATTAATAAAGATATGAATAATATTAAAACGATTAATTTAAATCATGTATCTATTCAACAATTTGACTATATTATTAAGTAAGTTATTGAATTCTTTTATATATAATTTGTCGTATATATTTTAAATCATTAACATTTATTTATTATAAAGACATATCTACGGAGGTGTCGTTTTATTAGATAACCTTGATACGTCATTTATTTTTGAGCTCATGCTTCTTGCTTCTGAGTTTCTTTTTGAGGAATTGGCCAAATATATTGAATCACATTTAATTGAGACAAAAGCTCATTGGCTTCGTTTAAACTTTGCTTGCGTTTATCAAAAAACTTTTAAAAGTAATATTCTTCAAGAATTACAAAAATGGTGTAATGATATCGTGGTAAAATATCCGGATAAGATATTTGACTCTGAAGATTTTACTTTACTTAATGAAAATGCATTAGTATCACTTATTGAAAGGGATGACTTACAAATGGAAGAAGTAAAGATTTGGAATTATATTATAAAGTGGGGAATTGCTCAAAATCCAGACTTATCATCCGATCCTAAGGATTGGACTCATGAAAATTTTCTAGGCTTAAAGACTACTTTACAAAACTTCTTACCTCTTATTAGATACTTTCAAATGTCTGGAGACGACATTTATGAATATGTAAAACCATATAAACTAATTCTTGAAAAAAGCTTATGGAGTGATATAAAAAAGCGATTTATTTCTCCAAATAAACCAGTATCTTCAACAATTCTTCCACCTCGTACTATCTTGACACAAAAATTACCAATACGAGCAACTGAGCCATTTTCAATGGTTATTAATGAAGCACATGCGACTGAAATTGCTTCATGGATTGATAAAAGAGCAGATGGATATTCTACAGAAAATAACCCTTATGAATTTAAATTACTTCTTCGTGGAAGT